TAACTAAGTCAACCTGGCTTAAGTGTCAGGCAAAAAATGGCAGATGACAGTAGATCAGAGCAAACCCAAGGAGTGCAAAATGCATGAGGACACCTCCAAACACACTGTGGGCCAGACAACCCCAACCCCCAACCATCCCCAAGCTGTGCCCTCCTGCATCTCTGCTTACTGTCATAGATTTCCTACCCACACCAGGTCAGCCTGCACAGATCTGGGCTTCTGAGGGTGTGCGTCTTACATTACAGAATACGCAGAGTGCCCACTACAAACCGGACAGGAAAAGAACCGACCAATTTTAATTTGTTAGTAGTTTAAAAATGAAATGAAGCCAGGCGGTGGCGGTGCCCGCCTTTAATTCCAGCACTCAGGAGGAAGACAAGCTGACAGATCTCTGTGAGTTCAAGGCCAGCCTGGTCTACAGAGTGAGTTTCAGGACAGCCAGGGCTACAATATAAACAAACAATAAATACATAATATGAAAAAGACAGCCAGACACAATGGCCCATGTATGTATTACCAGCCACATAAGGGGCTGGGGAAGGAAGATTGCTTGAGGCCAGGAAAGAATCTGGGGCCAGTCTTGGAAGCACAGCAAGACCCTCTTTCAAAAAACTAAAAAGGGACACAGAAGTACAGGCTAAGGGACCAGATCAGTGTAGGATGTTTGCCTCGTGTGCACACCTGGACCCAGCACTGAAGGCTATAAACACAGTGATCTATGGGACTTAAGGTGACTTTACCTTTTTTTAGATCTTCTACTCCCCCTCCCACCATCTTGATTTTACAAATTAACCTGTTTGCTTGTCTGGTTGGTTGGTTTGGCTTTTCCAGACATGGTTTCTCCATATAGCCCTGGCTGTGCTGGAACTCTCTCTGTAGACCAGGCTGGCCTCAAACTCAGAGATCCGCCTGCCTCTGCCTTCCCAATGCTGGGATTAAAGGTGTGCATCACCATGTCCGAGTACAAATTAACATCTTAGAAGCTTAAAGACAAACGCTCAAAGCCAGAGCAATCTCCAAAAAGCAAAGAAACGACCTCAACCACTAGCCTGTCGCTTTCGGTCCTATACTCAGCGGCCCTCGAAGAACAGAACACAGGATTAGTTGGCGGCACTCAGCATCAGTCCCTGCTGAGGGCAGAGCTTTCCACTGCCCACTGCAGAGACTAAACACTTCCTCTCCTCCCTACCCCACCTTAGAGGAGATGACTGCCCATGATAAGAACTCTGAACTCTGAAAACGTGCCACCCATATGACTTGTTTTGAATTCGAGCAATGAACTAGAAATGACTTTCTTTCAGAACCAACTTTCTATCACAGGGATGTGATAACAATGGCCTTGACCTAAATCAGTCCTCCCTTTGTCTCATCTCCTGAGGCTGATCAGAAAGTTGAGGGGGAAAGGGGATCCCTGACTTCGAGACATCAGATGCTACCACTCTCGCGAGTCCATGAGAATCCTCTCCTCACCATGCTGAGGAACGGAGCCTCCCAAGACTTCACAGGCTAAGGAAGCCCCAAGAAGGTCCCTACCATGGAGGCTATGGACAGAAGCTCTGTTCTTTAGAGGATGGGGTGGGAATGGGCATCTTTCCCCTCCCATAGCCAACTGCTTTCCCAGTGCCATGCCAACCGGCAATAGCTGGTCCCAGCCATTTAACCAAGATGGAATTTCTGTCTAATACTGCCTCAGAGACCCGGCCAAAGAACCAGGAAGTGATAGAGGTCATGGCCCTGGATTAGAGGTTTTAGTTTAAAAGGAAAAAAAAAATGGCCTATATCAGTGCTCTGGGAAAGGCCAAGGAAGCAGCAGCTCCTCTGGACAGGCAGGCTGGTGACAGGGCACTGTGACCAGGGAATGGCTCCCTGAGTTGAATATCAAGGAAAAAGTATTCAAGTAAGGGTCTAGTCCCTTCCACCCTATGGAATCTAGCAATCACACATACATAAACTTTAGTTAGAATGGCATGTCATATACTAAGGTCATGGAGACAGCACAGACATGTGTCACTCAATAATGGGGACACATTCTGACAAATGCCTCCTCGAGTGATTACACAATCCTCACACATGCACAGGGCATGGCTTCCTTTCCCTGGGCTCCACGGTGTGTCTATGTGGATATCACATACACATGATATAGCCTATTGTATCTAGGGCCACGGCAAACAAAACAGCACAATCAAGAGCTCCATCAGTAAGGGCTTGTCGCACAAGAAAGACCCTGTGTTCAGATCCCAACACCCACACGAAAAGGTCAGTGTGGGAATCCAGTCCCAAGGCTGGGGAGGCAGAGGCAGGAGGATTACTGGGGCTGCTGACCAGCCAATCTAGCTAAATTAGTGGGCTCCAGGCTCAGTAAAGACCCTGTCTCAAGAAATACAGTGGAGGTCAATTGAGGAAGAAACCCAGTGCCCATATCTATCCTCCATACATAAGTGTACACATGTTCATGGGCACCTGCACATATGTGGGCATGTGTGCGCACACACACCAAAAAAAAAACCCTAAACACAACATGAAATGATAGATATCAAGAGACAGGGCAAACTAGAGACAGGCGAGGTTCTGCTAGCCTTGCAGGACACTTTGGAGGAACTTTTCAAGGTTGAAGTAGGAAGTATACTTTGGAGTAACAAAGCACATCACAAAAGAGGTACACAACAGTGACCTGTTATTCTCATCAAGTGCCTGGCGCGGTAAGCCATTTCTATATGCATGAGGCGCAGGTTTGCTATGTCAGCATCACCTCAAGCACGAGAGGAATGTTTTGCATGCAAGCTATGGCACTGGGCAACTGGAGGGTTTCAGTGCCTTGAGTGTCATGCATGGGGCTGTCTATGCAATCCATCACCAACCATGACAAACTATCCAGGTATGATGACCAGATGCCAGTCTCAGTCTCCCTTCCCCTTGTCTTGCTATAGAGTCATCTCCCTGCTTTGGGAACCAGGGTCACGCCTCAAAGGGGTTTATATGCTCTGGAGACCCAGGGAGTGACAAAACACTGAGTGATCGCAGAGTTCCTTAGTGGGAACTGCCTGACAACTGTGGAGTTTTCCCCAGCAAGCAGAAATGACATGGGAAACTCTTAGTCTCTGGAAAGCAAAGTTTGCATTTGAGTTTAAATAAAAATGAGTCATATAAAGCCAGAACTGGACCCTTGGGGACAAAGGGCAAGCGAGAGACAGATGAGGTTCCACCAGCATGGCAGGACACATTACCAGGAAACTTTAAAAAGTTCAAGAGTGCTTTAAAGTAATGATAGAGAATATCGCATAGTAGGTACACAAGAAGGGGACTGAAAGTCTCTAAGAGACAAAACAAAACAAACAAACAAACAAAAAAACATGGTGAACCCAGAGCATGCACTAAAAACCAGCTGAACATCAGAGACTGTGAGTCAGGTGGGGGCTGACCCAAGTCAGCAGCCCTGACAGTGCACAGGACACCTCTGCAGGAGCAGACAAGAGAGAGAGATGAAAAGCTGGGGACCATTTCCTAATGCCACTAGGAAGCCACAATGTAGCAGAAGAGAGAATGTGAGCACAGAGGTAAGGGTGGGATGGCCTGGTAACCCTCAAACCAGGGCAAATCCCTTAGCCAAAGGGCAGCAAATTCATTCAGCTGGAATGCCAGATAACCTCTGCCTGACTCCCCCACCAGGGAACTTTGCTCTAGTGGGGGTTCCTCAGCTCTGACAGGAAGTGCAGTTCAGAGGAGGTCTCCATGGGTCTGACTGGCCTCCCAACTGCCACTGCTCCAAGCCTCTGGGGTACTCGGAAGTGCAGAGTGAGGCCTGAGAGTCTTGGTTTCTTTCTTTTTGTTTTGTTTTTGTTTTCTCGAGACAGGGTTTCTCCGTGTAGCCCTGGCTGTTCTGGAACTCCCTCTGTAGACCAGGCTGGCCTCAAACTCAGAGATCTGCCTGCCTCTTCTGTGATTAAAGATGTGTGCCACCACACCCAGCTGCGAGTCTTAGCTTCTAAAGAGCCTCTCAACGATACTAATGCACCTCTCCTAGGGCGCACACATCTGCGATGAGGCTCTAGCCAACCAATTTCAAGTCAAAGTGAGCAAGCCTCAACGTGGGGAGCTGGAGAAGCCCTTTCTGGAGTCCAGCATCCTGAAAGGGCAATCCTAGGGTCAGTGAGCACTCTAACTACAGAAGCCCCAAGGACAGTGACTTACAGCTTAGGTGGGCAGCTAACAGCAGCTGAACTATGGGACTCTCCCAATAAAAGTTGGGGATGCCAGCCCGCAGTGGCCAAGCCTACAGAACAAGCTACTCCAGAGACGGAGGCACGCTGATCTCAAGTGGGGAGACCAGCCTGAGAAACATAACAAGCCTCCATCATGAGGGGTTTTGGGGGGGGGCTTTTTCCTGAAGGAAATGAGAAAGGGTGGGGTCAAGATGGACGAGTTAGGTACCTCAAACAACCCAGGCACTCAACTTGCTCAGAGGACCAAACCCCAGGAGCTGTCCTCTGCACACGTGTCTAAAAGGAATCATCCCTGCCCCACCCACTCCTCGCACAGACTCTGCCCTGTCTTCCTCCAGGGGAGAGGTAACTGCAGACAGGGAGCCTCCGGTGACTCAGGCGTCCAGAAGCCAAATCTGTGCCCTGCAGCTGCAGTCACAGGACCCTCTCCTCGCCTTCCGTTGAGCCCTCCAGCCGCAGCCTGTCCTCGCTCACTCCAGGGTCCCTCTGTCCACCTGAGTGTCTGTCTTAGGCTCATCTTCAGGAGTGTCCCTAACTCCCAACCCTCCCAGGTACAGTCCTGAGCCTTAACATTCCCATAACATCGGTGTAGTCCCGCTTTAAAAGATGTGCCACCATCACCGTGTTCCCGGGGGCGCCTCGGGTAGCCCCCCTGGGATGCTGAGGTCCTACAAACGTCCCTTTGTGTCCAGTGCGGGGCACACAGGAAGTGCTCAGAAGCAGCTGCGCGGGGGTCAGGGGCTCTCAGGGCCCGGCAGGCGCAGTCAACGAGACCCTCACCTTGTAGACTTTGCCGAAGGCGCCATCGCCCAGCTCGCCCACAATCTCCCACACGTCGTTGGGGTCCAGGTCCCGGCGGACGTGCTCATATTCACGGGACTTTCTCTTCTCGAAGGTCGATAAGCGCAAGATGCGGCGGAAATTGGCGAAAGCCATACTGGGTCCGGAGCGCGGCCGGAGAACTTGCGGCTTCGCAGAGCCGCCCTCCCCGCAGCGCAGCGCCGGCCGAGTGCGTCCACCGCTGCCGGGAGCTGCCGGAACCGCGGCCCGCCCCGCCCCGCCCCGCCGCGCCCCGCCCCCTCCTGGACCCGCCCGCAGGACGCCCGGCACCCGCGCGCACGCCAGTCCCCGCCCGCTCCACCTGCTCCGCGGCGCCCCGAGACCCCTCAATTGGCTGCGGGAGCTCCCGGTTCCGCCCGCGCCGCGGGGCACTCTGGAGACTGTAGTCCGCCGGACGGACGGCCCGCGGGCCCGCTGCGCCTCGCGGAACCCCAAACCTTCGGGGTTCAGCTGACGTCCTGCGATCGTCGTTGGTGCCAAGCTGGTGCATCAGCGAGTAGAAAGTGCCTACAGCGGACTGGCTCGCCCTTTTCCCGCGCGGGACGCCTGCGCCCTTCGCCTCGGGGGATCACGCCCGTCCTTGGTGCTCCTCGCCCCAGGGTTCACGCAAGTCCCAGGGTCCCTTCACCCTGCTTTCTACGTGGGTCTCAAGCGCGGTGCTGCCTCCAAGCGCGCAGAAGTCAGAGCCCCGCGGCTGCGCGCCCCCCAATACAGGTTCTTTTCCTGCCCCCGCCAGCCACATTGGATCAGGACTCAGGACAAGAAACGTTAGAGTCCCTTGAGGACCTATTAGGCGTCGTGGTAGGTTAGCAGATATATTCCTTATAAAGTAAAACTTTCTAGTTCTTTTACCAATTAAAAAAAAAAAACATTAGAAATAAAACCGGAGACATCTCGGGAACCGTCCTCCATCCTGGCGTCGGGACCCTTGTCGCTCTACCTTATCTGCTGGCGACCTGCAGATTGCACAGCGTCTTTCCCTGGTATCAGGACGTGGGTTCTAGAGCAGTTCTGCGGGCTGAGCAGCTGCAAAGCCTGTGATGGTGACCCTCCCCCACCCCTCCCCGAACAAGTGAGTCTGACACTTGGGCACCCTCGCCTCGAGAATGCCTTTAGATTGCCACTCCGTTTCCTCGGGACTCTGTTCGAAGATATACCTGGAGCCGCGCGCAGGCACCGAGTGTAGTTTCCCGTTAGGAAAGTCGGCTGGAGAGTGAATTCCATGCCCCAAGGATTCGTGCAAAGGGCGCCCCGAATAAAGGCTGCCCCAATTCCAATTGTTCCCGCCACTGAATGAGTGTGAGGAAATTTTATCATCAAAAGAAGGAAATGTCACGCAAAATTGCTCTCGTTAAGTCAGCCTGTGAACGAGCCAAAGGGTAGGTCTGTGTCAGTGGCTTCCTTGGGACCCACTGGAGTCTGTGCAGCTATACCGGGTAGGCAGAGGGTCAGAACGCGCTGACCAGTCCCAGGAGTTCCAGAAGAAAACAAACTGAGAATAAAAATAGAACGGTCCTCAAAAAAATGTCATGATACTTGAAGGAAACCAGACCCAAAGAGTGCATGAGGTATGACGGCATTTATATGACCGCACCAGAAAAGGCAAAGCTGTGGAAAGCCAGCTAAGGGTTGGCTTCCAGACGTGGACTGGCTGGAAAGAGCCATGCAGAATCTCACAGGGGTGATGAAAATGACCGGAAACAGAACTACAGTGACAGTTCCGCAACTCAGGAAACTTGTCACACGTCACTAGAGTGACTTTTGTTTTTGTAAGTTGTTGGGGGGGTATGTAAATTATATATAAAAAACGTAGCAATGAAAAGGAGGCTCAAGAGAGCCAAGTTACTTTGAAACTTATGTTAAATAGGATTTCCTTCCCTTCATCTGTCTCTGGCTATGGGGCCTCACAGTGAGTGACCTAGTGATGAATGAAGACAGATGGAGGGTTGTGCCCTTCCCCAACCCTACTTTCTGGGACAACTTAAAATAGAAATTATTGATTCCTGGTAAGTTTGATAAATAGTGCTTCAATGTGTATATGTCAATTAATGAGGCTGAGTTTTGCATAGTTTTGTTGCTTTTGTTTGTTTTTGAGACAGGGTTTCTCTGTGAGACAACCCTGGCTGTTCTGGAACTCACTTTGTAGACCAGGCTGGCCTCGAACTCAAGAGATCCACCTGCCTCTTCCTCAAAAATGCTGGGGCTAAAGGTGTGTACCGCCACTGCCCCGGCGAGTTTGCATAGTTTTTGCTGGTCTGTGTCCTTTGCCATTTTTTGTTGTTTTGGGTTGGGGGTGTGAGCGATTTGTTTTGTTTTGTGTGAGACAGGGTCTCTCTATGTAGTCCTGGCTGTCCTGTAACTTGGCCTCAAACTCACAGAGATCCTCCTGTCTCTAACTCCCGAGTGCTGGGGTTAAAGGGGTGCGCCACCATGCCCTACTCTTTACACATTTTATAAAAAAATCAGATTTCCTATGTTTTTTTGTTCTAGGAATTTTATTATTTACTTCTGTGTGCATTTGTGGTTATGTGTGTGCGTGCAAGCATGTGTATATGTGAGAGTGTGCAAGGGTATGTATACATATGTGGAGGCCAGACATACACGCAGACACCAATGCAAATAAAATAAAAATAAATAGATTATTAGGAAAATAAAAATAGATTTTTAAAGGCATTTCTTTTTTTAAGTTTTATTTATTTATTATGTATACAGTATTCTGCCTGCATGTTTCCCTGCAGGCCAGAAGAGGGCACCAAATCTTACTGCAGATGGTTGTGAGCCACCATGTAGTTGCTGGGAATTGAACTCAGGACCTTTGGAAGAAGAGCTGGCAAAGCTCTTAACCACTGAGTCATCTCTCCAGCCCTAAATAGATGTAAAAAAAAAAAGAGTTGGTTCTCTCCTTCCACCATGTGGGTCCTGAGGATTAACTCAGGTCCTCAGCAGCCCTCCCTAGGCACCACTGGGCCATCTCATTGTACCTGAATTTTTAAAAATACTATCATGTTGGGTTTAGATCTTGAAAATGTTTCCTCTCAACCTTTCATCCATATGTTAACTTTACTCCTGGTATCTTCTGTGGAGCAAGTATGAATAATATTGATATAATGAAATCTGCTTTTATCTTCATGTGTGGGTATTTCCCTGCCACGGAGGACTGAGCCCTGGACCTTGTACACAGGAAATGTCTCTGACAGAACTATACCACCAGGTGGCCTATATTTTTTAACTTGGAAAAAAATCAACTTAAGAGACTGGAGAGATGGCTCAGAGGTTAAGAACACTGACTCCCCTTCCAGAGGACCCAGGTTCAGTTCCCAGCACCCACACGGCAGTGCAGGCATCTGTTACTCCTGTTCCATGTGCTGACCCCTCTTCTGGCCTTCCCCAGGCAAAACACTCAAAACATCAATTTAGGCCAGACATGGTGGTGCATACCTTTAATCACAGCATTTAGGAGGCAGGGGCAGGTGGATCTCTGTGAGTCTGAGGCTATCCTGGTCTACAGATCAAGGGCCAGAACAGGCTCCAAAGCTAAACAGTGAAACCCTGTCTTAAAAAGCCAAAAACCAAACCAAACCAAAATAACACTAGAGCAGGACCGTGGTGGCACATGCCTGTAATCCCAGCACATGGGAGGCAGAGGCAGGCAGGTATCTGTTAGTTCGAGGTCAGCCTAATCTACAGAGTGAGTTCCAGGACAGCCAGAGCTGTTACACAGAGAAACCTTGTCTTGAAGAGAAACAACAAACAAAAAAAGAACACGTTTATTGATAATCTACATTAAATAGAAAGGCACCCCGTAAGGCTGTCACCATCCAGGTAAAGAACATCTCCATTGCCTCTTCAGGCAATTCTCATCCCACTCCTTTCAAACTTTTTTTCCAGTGCTGGAGATTAAACCAAGGCCCTCGTGCATGCCAGGCAAGTGCCTCATACACTGGCCACACACTGACCTGGGTTTAGCTTCTTTGAACTCAGCATGTTTCCGAGATTCATCGTGTTGGATGTATTCATAGATCACTCATCTTCATTGTCGGGTAGTATTACACTGTCTGGATAGACCATCGTCATAAATACATTCAACTGCGAGGGACAGTGGGTGTTGGGTTCTACCCACCTGGTTATTATTAATAAAGCTGACGCAAACACGTGGTGTTAGAGTCTGCATGGAAATGATGGCGCTCAGGACATATGACCTCAGAATATGTTGCTTTGTTGACCTTCATTCATCAGGTCTTTTCCCCATCTTTGAAGGGAAGGATAAAGGCTTTAATAGGATGTTTAAAAGGATAAAGGGTGAGACTCAACTCAACTGGTCCCTTACAACCACCGGGCAATCCTCTCTGTCCTCCAGCCTCACTCCCTACAAATGAGTTTCTGTTCTTCACTAAGTTTTAACATCACACAAGTGCACCTATATCTTTGAGTCTGTATTTCCTTATGAACACGCCCATCCACAGACAACTTAACAAATAGTCATGATGGTGCTTTCCTGTAATCCCAGCATCCAGGAAGCAAAGCCACACAGTGAGCTCCAGGCAGCCTGAGGCGCAGCAAGACCCTGTCTCAAAAAAACAAAAAATATAGCTGAGTGGTGGTGGCTCGTGCCTTTAATTCCAGCACTCAGGAAGCAGAGGCAGGCAGATCTCTGTGAGTTCAAGGCCAGCCTACAGAGTTCCAGGACAGTCAGGGCTACATCTTGTCTCAAAAATCAAACAGCCGAGTGATGGTGATGCATGCCTTTAATTCCGGCACTCAGGAGGCAAAGGCAGGTGGATCTCTGTGAATTCGAGGCCAGCCTGATTTACCCTGCCTTTGATTTTACTAAATGTGTGGGAGTTTTTGCCACACCAGACAGTTTTCTGCAGACACCCCAGGGGTGTACACAAGTCACTCTAATTCTGACACTGGGGATTAGCATAGACCCCACGGCTTAAGGGATCCATCCCACAAGACAGCTTTACCCTTGGCACACTCCAGTCGTAAGTTCAGGGTGTCTTCTGGATTTTTGAGCAACCAGTCATAACATCAGAGGTTCCCATGATCTAGAAGGTCAGATAGAACTGTGTGTATGCACACATATATATGTCCATCACACATACAGGTATAGCAATGAACATATGTTTGCACACAGACCGATAACCAAATATAGAGTTTTGCAATTTGGCTCATATACACAGTCATAAAAAAACCAATACAATTTTAAAAACACAAATTCTAAGAAAAAAATACAGGTTTTAGAACTGAAATGATTTCTGAAGCATGATACATGATGATACATGATCTGGGGTTCTTGATTGGAGCAGCTCTTCAAACTTCTAAGAGGCAATCAGCTGACATGGTATTTGAGGGTGCTGGATGACTGTCCTCCAGCGGGATAACTTTGAAGACTCATGTTTTTTAAAATATATACCCAAATATTTGCACATTAGCTGTTTTGTCTGAGACTTGCTTCCAAATAACCCAGGAACTGTGATGGAACAGAATGAATATGGATGAGCTGGGGCTGGTCTGAACTGTGGGTGGACCTGAGTGACGACCCATGACGCTTGAGCCTACTAATCTGTTCCCCTTTGGATAGGTCTGAAATAGTCCATCATGAAAGAGAGAAGGAAACAGCAGTGATGGTGTTAGTCGGGCATCCTGCTTTGACTTCTGGCCCGCTACGCTTTGTGGTCTTTTAAAAACTCTTTCTTGGCTGGGCATTGGTGACACACATTTAATTCCAGCACTCAGGAAGCAGAGGCAGGCGGATCTTTGTGAGTTCAAGGCCAGCCTGGCTAAGGCGTGAGTTCCAGGACAGTCAAAGCTACACAGAGAAACCGAGGCGCATGCCTTTTAATCCCAGCACTTGGGAGGCAGAGGCAGGCGGATCTCTGTGAGTTCGAGACCAGCCTGGTCTATAGAGTATAGAGCAAGTTCTAGGACAGGCTCCAAAGCCACAGAGAAACCCTCTCTCGAAAAACCAAAGAGAGAGAGAGAGAGAGAGAGAGAGAGAGAGAGAGAGAGAGAGAGAAAGAGAGAGAGAGAGAGGAAAGAAAGAATAAAGAAAGAAAGAAAAAGAAAAAGAAAAAACAACAAGCAAACAAACAAAAAACTCTTTAGCCAGGCAGTGGTGGTAAGCGCCTTTAATCCCAGCATCTGGGTGGCAGAGGCAAGCAGATCTTGTGAGTTCAAGGTCATCCTGATCTACAAAGTGAACACCAGGTGGGCTAGGATGTTGATAGTAAAGACAATCTCTATCTCTCTTCATATAATATATATACATATACACACATACACATATATGTGTGTATATATGTATAACAAGTATGCCACTATACATATACATATATATGTATATTATATAACCTAAACATTTATGTGGACACAAATCCCTTCCCTTTGGCTTTATATGAGTATACTTGTTCGAGGCTCTTTCAGTACTCTGTGTGCGCTTCCATTTACTTTCCTAACATGTACATATTGTCTAGGGTGGTTCTGAGAGCCGCTTTGGCCCTGGGCTTGGTGACCCCTAGAGGTCAGCCAGGAAACACCCACGTCAAAGGCAGAGAACTGTGAGGAGCCATTTCATTCCCTCCCATTGTCTCCTCTAGGCATGCCGGGTCATCTCAGGGACCCTATCCAACATTCTAGTTCTGAGGCGGAACTCTCTGTTCCGCGTCAGGTCGCCAGAGCCTCCCTCTGGCTGAAAGCTGCCGAGATGAAAGTGAAGCAAGGGTCTTTTCTGTGGTACCTTTACCTGGACAAAATCTACTGCTTGTTGTCTTTGAGAAATGTGAAGGCCTTGATGGAGTATTTTCACCTTCTGGACGCACACCGAAGGAACACTTTGAATGGTCAGTTCTTCCCCACACAGAACCCCAAACGATCTCCTTAACATTTATTTCATCTTGTCAAGGAAGCCCGGAGAGAACCTGCTAACAGCTGAGGCTGATGGCAGTTCAGTGCAGAGGATGAAGCCACAGGTTCTGGGGTCAGGCTGGGCTCTACCCACAATTCCTTGGTGGTTTGATGAGAGCGTCGTCTCCAACTTAAGGCTGTTTCTTCTTCTACCTTCTCATGTCTCTCCCACCCCTGTCATCCCTCTTCTCCCCAAAGGGTCCTCTCCCACCCGTCATCCCCCTCCTCCCTCAGGGTCCTCTCCCACCCGTCATCCCCCTCCTCCTCACAGGGTCCTCTCCCATCGCTGTCATCCCCTCCTCCCCACAGGGTCCTCTCCCACCCCTGTGCCATCCCCCTCCTCCCTCAGGGTCCTCTCCCACCCATCATCTCCCTCCTCCTCACAGGGTCCTCTCCCATCGCTGTCATCCCC